CCTCTATAATACATATCTTTAATGACTTGAATAAAATTCATATCAACGGCTTTTTTTTTTTTTCATATCACATGAAAAAAAAACCACTATTTTAACATTTAAAAAGTGCAAAACATATTTCCATGCATTGCATAGGAATTGAAGTTTAGGTGTCAGAAATGTCTAACACATAGGAATTAAGTGGTATTTGTGTAAATCATCCAATAAAAAAAATGCACGCCATCTGGTGCTCTACATAGGCTTACATCAACTATAAGTCCAAAGAGACAAATCAACATTGCATTTAATTTTCAACAAATCAACTAGTTCCCACTCATAAAATCTACACATCCACTTCAATTAATAAATCACAAGAGAAAATAAAGCAACTAAGAAAATGAGACTAAAAATACCTATTAAGGGAATTCGTGTTTCCCACGACAAGGAATTGAAACAAAAAACATGACGGGAGCAAACATTCTTATAACCATGTAAGAAAATAAAATTACTAAACTATATTGTCATTAAAATGCAGTAAATCTAAAGCAAGCAATCTCTCAAAATTCATCTTAAGTTACAATGATCTTCAAATGTTCAAATGTTCGAAAGGTGCAAAACAGAATACCAAATCAAGAAACCCGTAAGAATCCCAACTACGATCAAACGATACTTACTCAAGCGGCACTTCGACATCCCCTTCAGTGATCTCCGTCTGCAAGTCCTTTGGATCCTTCCCATCTACGGTGCATCCGACAGAGACGCACGTTCCCAGAATCTCCTTGATGGTGCCGCTGAGATCCTTAGCCATAGATCTTGACCTCATGACCCTAGCAATCTCGATCACATCGTCAAGCGAGATGTTCCCGCTGTGCTTGATGTTCTTCGTCTTCTTGCGATCGCGCTCGGGCTCTTTAAGAGCCTTGATAACGAGCGCCGCCGCCGAAGGCACGACGGAGACCTTCGCCTGTCGGTTCTGAACAGTCAGCTTGACGGTGACGCGTAGTCCTTTCCAGTCCCTAGCCGTCTCCTTGGCGATGTCTTCTCCGACCTTCTTGGGGGAGAGGCCAAGGGGACCAATCTTAGGGGCAAGAGAGCTTGCGGCACCAACCTCTCCGCCGGTGACACGGACGTAAACCTCCACCACCTGAGACGGATCGAATTTGGGCGGCATGGCTGCGGCTAGGGCTTTGAGCGGAAGGAGCGCTTATGTCGAATGAGCAATTAACGATTATATATATAGCAGGGCGCTTGCCCGTTGCTTATATGCAAAAACTGAACAAGTAAAGGGCTGAAATGTAAAATAACATGGAAAAACAAAATATAAATGTTAATTTTAAAACCAACATTCTTTTTTATCTTCAATATTTTTATTATAAATTAAGCTTTCTAAATGTTTTAATGCAAATAATTATAATATCTAAAATTTTAAAAATTGAAAGATTAGGCAATGATTGTCACGCAATAAAAAAATATATAATCTTGAATATGAAAATTGAAAAGAAATTGAACAACTAAAACTTGTTATTTATTGTATATCATTAAAGGGCTTTCAAGGGACAATGCATATGTTAAGAGACCTTTGGCCTAAGAAGAGACTTTTATCTGCTAATCCATATATTAATTGGTGTTCTAGGCTTGGAAGCTCATCTTCTCCAAAACGCAGTTATTGCACTTTGATTGTAAAAAGTTACTCGTCGATGTGTCAGCTGTCATGCAGCATCTGTCGAAGTGGCATGCCGAAGTAATACATCTTTCATATGCTCTTATATTTTTTTTTGTCTTTGTGTGTAGTCATACAAAAGTAAAGGGTCATATATGAGTCATGTAAATAGATGTACCATCCCACTTTCAAGGGGATCGAATCCTCTCAAGAGTTCGGGTTTTGAGAGTGCACAATTTATTTCCCTTCTTTTGCCTCCATTTTACTTACATAGGTTTCTCCCAGGTTATATGAGCCCACGAATGATGTGAGGTTTTATGTTCTAAATGGATGCAACACCCTAAAAGGTGCGGTGAAAGAGAATTTCATACTTAAACTAGTTATGAGAGCTTAAGTACAAGGGAGAACAAAAAAAAATGAATTGCACCATATATTTCATGGTGCAGCAGATCAATGAACTCAATAAGCAAATGAAGACAATAATACAAGGAGTAAGATACTATACATTAAGGACCAGCTCCAGTATCCATGTCAAAATGCACGTTTGATCGTTAAGATCTATGGTTTAATGAGGATTACCAAGGATAAGGGTGAGAAGAGCTCTGTCTTCGAGACTAGAAGAGAAAATAATAATGATATGTTCCAAGTGAAGAATCTTCTAACTCTTCGGAAGAGGAGGTGAAAGGAAGAAGATGGAAGAAGGCGAAACAAAAGTCAACAAAAAATACTTTTCAAGGGATATCACAGAACCTGAAGCACAATGAAAGTTCAATATTCCATCTTTGGAGCCTTAGAAGGAAGAAATAATCATGTTGATAATGTAGATTCATTTCAGTCAGTTGTTTGCATACTATGCATAAATGATGTCTTGAAGTTTCATTTATTCTTTACATTGTGAAGCAATCATTCCTACATTACTTCAAAAATTTAATTGCAGGAGTTATCACTTCTTTTGACCAATTTAAGCATATGTTTGTAGCCCAATTTGTTAGCACCCAAAAGCTACATAAAAAGTCCCAATCCCTTTTAAAGATCTGATAAGAGCATTTGGAGAACCTCAGAGGCTTCATCACTTGGTTTTAATGGGAGATGCTACATGTCAGAAACTTAAAACCTATAATTGTCCATGCAACACTAACCCAAGATCTGCGTCAGGGCTCAATTAGAGATGTTCTTGTTCATCAAAACCAATAACTCCAGATTGAGCTTTTAGAGTTAGCAAACAATTGCATTTTTTACTAAAGAAAATAACTACTTATCGAGCTCCTCTAAAAATTGAGAGCTAGAAGGATGATTCAACGTATTTTATATCTTAATGAGTGAAGAGATTGATTCGTTGAAATAAATTCTTGAAACTCGCCTGGAAGGTGAATTCATGAGGCAGAGATGGGATTCCTTAACTACAAGCTGATTAGGAAGAAGGCAGATTAAGGATAAGAACCACCTTAGTTGCCTCCATCGAAATTACTTAATTGA